AGTGACAATCATTCGAATCAAAATTGTGCGCATTTCGTTTATTCTCTCTAGATTTACGCAATGTAAAAAATAGCCTTGGTTTACACGTATTTCGTGGAATGTGCATGAATGAGAAGGCAGCTCCTTTTTTTAAAATTTTTGAGGAATTTAAAACAAACTTTAAAATTCAGATTTTTGAAATTTTCATCCTTTTTGGACTGGTTGCGAGAGGATTACTGTTTGGAGCTGCCTCCTTATTGCACCACGTCCTAAAAAATATCTGAAATTTAGGGGATTTTACGAATGAAGAGAACAAAATTTTCTTTCAAACACATGTTTATTTTATTCTTGGATCATTTGACAGTACAAACAAAAAATTGAGAATATAAGAAATCGTAAAATTAGTGCAAAATTCATTCTTTTTCATGCTCTGTCACGGTCAAACCGACATTATATCAGATTCTATAGTGACCGGAGTTGTTTCCTTATTGCACTACGAAAAAAAAGGATTTTTTTTTTAAATCTTTAAAATGGAGTTGCCTCCTTATTGCAACTCACCCCTCAATTAGAGGACGTACCTACTCAATTTCAAAGTTTGGACTCGCAACTGTTTTCTGAGGGTAATTTAATATTTTGATGATTTGTGAATATAGCAACATGTAGCATTTCACTTAGACTACAAATAAATTTCGTCCAAGTTTCGTCACGCAGCGGAGACGTTGTCCGAATTTCTTCAGAAGTAAGAGCATAACGGTGTCGGTTTTGGTTGGGCCCCTTATTCGCAAACAGGATATAGCCTCCAGTGGACCTATAAAACTTCGCCCAGGTCAAGATCCACTTTCTTCTCAGAGGTCATCCTCCTTTCTCGCATTTCCGGTCCCGGAGGTGGGTTGGGTTTCTCGTAGAGGCCGACGAAAAAAGGCAGGCACATCAACGCTAAATATGGCTGGACTTGCTCGTTTCTCATCTCCCCACCGCCGCGTGTATGCTGTCCTACGCACACTATTCCGATTTGCCAGATCCTACGATCGGATCAGAATGTTTGCCAGTCGACGGAACGTGGCCGCGCTAAGAAAAACTCGTTCATCGAAATTTGGTCGTCGCGTCTGCTCCCGTTCTTCGATTTTCGGTGCTCGACGTGACTCGTTGAAACGAAAACAGATACGGTGCGGGACGTAATAATATTTAACTATATTTTACACGGAACTATATTTTACATGGAAATTAGTGTAAATAAAAAGCTAAAACCGGGTGAGGTGAAACGAGAGTCCATTTGAGACACGCGCACGTCTTAACACTTTATTTACCGGGCTATTTAGAAACAGACTTTAATTCAAAAAAGAATTTTCTACAGTACCATATGCCAATCTAGCCTGACAAGAATTCCTCCATACTGTTACTGGGTCCATTGAAAGCCAAGTCTGTTTCCAAACACTGAACAGTGTAAGTAGACAACCATCGACATGGCAAATAAATTCCAGAATAGCTATAAAATACCGCAATTAAAATGCCTAAAAATATGCTCCCGGTAAATAAAGTGTTAAATCTCATAGCGTTACTAAGATATGAAGAAAAGCAAAAATGTACAGTGTTTCTCAAGAAGTATTAACCATATGCACTCGAGATGCTTTCTTAGCATTCTTAGCATTCTATTGCCACGAATCCTGAGCTTAGATTAACTTCGAAAATGAGATCCTTAATTTGAGATTTGGAATCTTAATTGAGAATCGGGCCACCTTTGCTTCAACGACAATCATTGATCGACGCTTCGAGTTCCAAAGAAATGAAACCTAAAGAAAACCTAGTGGTGACTGAGAGAGTCACCTCTCGAGTGCAAAGGGTTGAAATATGCAACTTTGCAATTTATTTAAAAATTGTTAGTGCAAAAACTCCGCTGGCACAATGAGAAGCAGATATTTTTGGAAATCCACCGGTATTCGGCCGAGTCGTCCACGTGTGGTGTGTTACAGAAATTATCGGATAGAAAATAAACAGTCGCGAGTTAACTTCAATTAGCATTCGTAAGGGAATCCGGGAGAAATAATACGAATTCTGCTCCCAACGAATCGTTTATGTATCAACGCTGAAGAAAGTAACCTGGATTTATCCCGAATCAAGAAATCGAACGACAGCGACCCTTCTTTGCTAGGACATTCCGATGACCTTGACGAGAATAACTCGCAAGGCCGGACATCAGTACTGGAAGAAACATGGTGACGCGTGATTCCATTTACGTGGTGATTCTCTTTGTCCTGCCAGTGATCCTGTGGTTCATTGGATATCTTAGAAAGAGCAAAGTTATCGCAGACATCGCGACAGCTACCAGGTAACCAGGACCCTTGTCCTTTGGGTTCGTTGAGCCGTCTCGGGTAAATGTCATTCGAAGGTGTCGATCTTATCGGAGGAATACGTAAAACAGACGGTACATCTTCCTGTCGGTTCACTTTCGGACGGATAAAAACGGCATTGGCTAAAAGAAGTACCGCAAAAGAAGCTACAAGTATCCCTTAAATACTTTTATGTGTCAAAGAAACATATTGACCTCTTCGCGCCCTTGGCCTTGGCCTCTTAGTATACGAACGTTTAGTTTTTTATAATTATAAATACTGGCAATCACGAAAAGAAGAAAAATTTGATAATTTATTCGCTACAGAAACCCTCAACAAGAGGAGTAAAAGTTTTATGATTTGATAACGGATATATCCGATGTACAATTAAAGATACAATAAAAGCGTGATTTAATTTATCAGCAGTCGGTTAGATTATTAGAACGAATCGTTAATATTTGATACAAATAATATCGTATGTATTAAATATATTAAGTTTTAATAATTTGTAGAAAATTAAGCCGTTCGCTGGGAGCTGCAATTATGACGTTTCTTTTAATGAAAAATTTCTCACAAATGTTCCGATATGATTATTTTCAGAAACACATATTTGTGGTAACTTATTTGATACATAATATGATCGCCGAACAAAAAAAAACGATGAAAACTGAAAGATAATAAAAGTAACCATATATTTTCAGTTGGACGCGCATGTGCGAAAGTGTTAATATTTTACGCGGGTCGCGTACGACACGTAAAAAGCTGTAAATTTAAAGGTGGCACGATTTTCTTGTTAATATACGGATAGCGCTTGCTTTCATCATCCATCTTCCCGTCAAATTAGATTCACAGGCTAGCAATCGGGTCGTCGTTGCTTGCTTCACAAGCCGTTCCATTTAGGATCGGCCGATGACGCGCGACTCATTATAATTACGATGCTATGCCTCGGGCTTCAGTGTCTCTCGTGCTGTTGTCCTCGTCTGTTGCGCAAAGCGTCGGACCATCGGGTTCGTCGATAACTCGAGATTTGGCATAGCGTTCGCTGACGAACGCTGATCGAAGACGGAAGGTGAATGTTGATTTCGCGCGACACCAACGAAAAATCAACCAGTGATTTACGGTGGAAATCGGATATTCAGCGGATCTTCGATCGCGTAATTGGTCAAATGGACCGATCATTTTTCTCGCGAGACATTTGTCCCAATAGAATTTTAGAATTTCTCGACTCCTTATTTTCTTTCTTATTTTCAAACATGTTTTGTCGCACGAGAAAAATGTCACCCATCGTTCGCGTTTCTTTTATACCGAAGGGAAGTGTAAACGTGTTTTAAATGTTCCCGGAGGTATCGGGCGACGTCCAACGAGACTATCGACGGTATCGGTACAAGTTAAACGTGTGCGTGTTACGTAAAATGTTTAATTATAAATGCGTGGCTGTACTCGTCAGTGGTCATCGTTGACCGTTACGCAAAAGCTCTCCGAAGACACGCCGACTGGTATCGAGAACGAGTTTGACTCTCCGTCAACCGGCCTCGTTGGTTTGCGCCCTGAGAAAGCCGGAAACGATTTTATCTAATCGCGTCGTTGAGCGGTAGAGGGAGAAATACTTGACGATCTAAGAACATTGGTCGGTATCCGAAGAAGATAGCGATAAAAATAAACTAGCTACTAGGCGTCCCTAAGGTGAAGGCTGAATATAATTTTACATTCGACGGATTCAATTTTTTTTTGTGATCGTATTCGATGCAAGATAATTAACCCTTACAATCCTCACAAGAAGAAATTGAATCTAAGTACTGAGCCAATCTGGTGTGGTTTGGGTAAGATTTTCAACGAAAATGATAGATAAAGATTTAATATCGAGCGAAAATTAATTGTCCATTGAAGCATTTAAATATTTTTATCGAATATCGTATTAACACGTTGATCGCCACGTCACCCTTATATGGGTGACAGTGCTTTTCATTAAAAAACAAATACTATTAATTCTGACAGTTAAGTGTCATAGAAGACGAATTTACATGAAATACTGGAATTTTGACGAAGTTACGAAACTAAATATCAAAGTAAATGTTTCATTACGCAGTTTACAAAAGTCTGTAAACAAAATTGAATCGCGGTAGAAATGTTCAAGAGTGTTAGTCTGGCAGTGAACGTGTTAACTCTTATCACTGCAACTGGCAGCAATCCTGTCAAGCTTGCCAAACATTCTACTCCACCGACAGAGTCACTGCTGGAATTTTGAGGTTTGATTGTGATTGATCTTATTATTATTATCTTATTATTATTATTTGCTGTGATCATTTTTAAGTAATTTATTCAATTTTATTTGGCTCGAAACGGTTTGTTTCCATCAATCTGTCTCTTGCGTACGAACATACGGAAACACCGTTTACCTTTCAATATCTCAGAAATGGATTCACAACAGCTTAGGAACAGTCGTGCAGAAACTTGTACGTAACTTCTTTGGGTTATTACGATTTCGTTACCGTCAATTCGTCTCTTACATGTGAACATATAATTCGTGTAGCTGTCTGTTTACACGCTTGTGCAAAACACACTTTTACGTATAATATCAGTTACGTATTATTATTATTAGAAAACTAGGAAAATTTCAGACAGTGTCTCGTTATTTCGTCACAAAATGTAGTTTATAATTATCAGACTAACAATTGGTTCTCGATTCTTTTCCAGGTCGGCCTTGCAGACGCTGCACAAGGTGTCGAGTAAGGCGCGCGAGCAAAACTACTTCCTTGGTGGTCTGTCGCATGACTGGGTCAGTTACTATGAACAACGAATCGAAAGCGATCGTTCATGCCTCAACGAGTGGCATGCTATGGACAACCTGGAATCCCGAAGACCACCGTCGCCGGACAGCGTGCGCACCAAGTAAGAGTCTTAATTGTTCAACTTAACAAACGTTTCGTCTGTAACATTTTCTTCGGCGAATCGTTTTAAAATTAAAATTGGGGGGGGGGGGTTATAAACTAGAGAGAAGGTCCCGACAAATCATCGAGTATATTTATAGACTTGAGAATGAATCGAAACTTTAAGACCAACGTGAACTTTACAGGATGTTTCGTTTAACCCATTCGAGACGGCGATTTTTTTTTTTTTTTTTTTGTTTCGAACACGATCCTCGGGCGCGAAATTCGTTTTTCTTTATATTGTTCATTTTTAATTAAAAAACTTCATTACCATGGAAATCGTCCGATTCGTAAGTGAATTCGCATAAGATGATTGAACACCGTGAGTCCAATGTAAGGTAAAATAAAAATACGTCATTAAAATTGATGAACATTTGTTTAAAAAATAGTCAGATAGTATAAAATCGTTATTTTACTTTCGATAATAAAGAACAGAATGTAATGCAAGAGAATAAGTCGAATAACGAAGAGAAATAATATAAACGAGAAATAAATTTGTATAAAAATGTCGAAACAATGCCTAAACGAGAACGTGTAATAAACAAAAGTATTTATTGTGCTGAATTTATACGGTAGATGAAAACTTGATATTCGTGACAGCCAGAGACCATTATTATATTATTTCCAGTTTCTGCGTCTATCTGCCATCTGTTTGGAACGGCAAATCTGCACACGGGTGTTGGGTCAGTATGCCCTAATCAAATTTCCGAACCACTGATCAACGATTGAAGATTGTTGTACATGAAAGACCTTAGAAATTTCGTAATACTCTGCAACCGAATTATTTTATGACATGGCTAACATATTCTCGTTATTTAAGTCTGTGACACGACCTCAGATTTTTCAACATCCTTTCTTTCCTTTTCTTCTTTTAACTAAGCGAATCGTATATCCTCGTAGCTGTTTATTAAAATCAGTTTCACGAATTTTTCTACGATAATTGCATGCTTTCGAAGGGTGAAATCCTAGAACCCTTTGTCCTTATAGAATGTTCTTTAATTCTTAATCGAATCTGTCGCAAAAATGTTCGTGGTTAACAATGTATTATAATTTAAAAAAAAAAAAAAATTAATTTGCCAGCATAAACAACCAGTCATTCATCGTTGGTGTTAATTTGAAATAAGCCTCCGTTAAATTGTTGTAAATGTCCCGTTGTTTCAAAATATATAAAGTGATATAGAAAAATCTTTCGTTTCATCGTCACACGGTGACTGCCACGTCGCATATGGTCGACAAGGATTTTCACCGAGCAATTAAATACATTAATTCCGAAGGTGGGGTGTTACAGAAATGAATCTATTCTATTCGATTTTGCTCTGTTTCGTACAATTTCGATCAGTTTTTCTTATCCAGTTATTCGAAGCAAACAGTGTAGATAACTGCTGAATATAACGATTACAAATAACTGAACTAGAATAAATCGATAGATGCGAAAATTTATAAAATGACCGCATTGTGAGAGTATATAAAATATACTTAAATATACCAAGGAAAGTAAAATACACGTTACAATATTTGGAAGATAAAGCATACTTTAATTAACGTTTCTGTTCTCTTGTAAACAGACTTTCGTTTAAAATCGTCCGATATCGACTAAATTTACATATGAATCCACCTTAAACAATGATTTTTCCCAAAGAATCGCAATTCACTAAGCATTACCTAACGGTGTCTGGTAAAACAATAATTTAACAGATACTCATTTAATACGAGTGTCAGCTGGATCTGTAAATCTATAATTTTGTTCTTTTGTCATCACAGGCCCAGAGAAAGGGACGAGACTGAGCGCGTGATCCGGTCAACGTTGAAGGAGATCATGATGTCCGTAGATCTCGACGAAGTGACCTCGAAGTATATTCGAGGTCGCCTCGAGGAAGACCTCGACATGGATCTCGGGGAGTTTAAGCCATTCATTGATCAGGAGATGCTCACCATTCTAGGTCAAATGGACGCGCCGACTGAAATATTTGATCACGTTTACCTAGGAAGCGAATGGAACGCTAGCAACTTGGAGGAGCTTCAAAAGAATGGGTAAGTTTCTCCTTTTCATCGCCTTAATGGAATTCCTCGATTTTGAATTTCTCTTACGAGATTACTCGATCCTTGATATCTTTTAAAACGATTCCGATTGTTGATCGTCCAGGGTTAGGCATATCCTGAACGTTACTCGGGAAATCGACAACTTCTTTCCTGGGATGTTCACGTATTTGAACGTACGTGTCTACGACGACGAGAAGACGGACCTGCTGAAGCACTGGGACGACACGTTCAAATACATCACCAAGGCGAAGAAAGAAGGTTCCAAGGTACTGGTGCACTGTAAGATGGGAGTGTCCAGATCTGCTTCGGTGGTGATCGCGTACGCGATGAAGGCGTACAATTGGGACTTCTCTCAGGCCTGGAAACACGTGAAAGAGAAACGGAACTGTATCAAGCCTAACAACAGCTTCTTGATACAGCTGGAGACTTATCGGGGCATTCTAGATGCCATGAAGAACAAGGAGAAACTTCAAAGGTCCAAATCCGACACTAATTTAAAGTCTCCTACTTCGGCCAAGAATCAGTCCAAGAAGGAAGAGAAGTCCGACAACGGAGACAGCGGGTTGCAAATTACGTCGGGGTTGGAGTTGAGAAAGACTAACCAAAGGCCGAAGAGTTGGTCGCCGAACGTGAAAATCGCTGAAAACATGTTGCCTTCTGGTACGTAGCTCTTGCTATTATTTTCCTTTGATATTTCGTTAGATATTTCTCGTAATTTGTAATTAAACCGATATTTGCTTGCAGTTCCCCTTTCGCAGTCTCTCGAAAGCATCGACAAAACAGGAAGCACGGAAGTGACCAGGGAAGACCTTCTCCGCTCAACGAACCAGAAGGCCAACATGCCTCAGGAGGCTCGAAACGTGTTGATGCCTTGCGGCAACGGTCAGTCGTACAGCGTTTCGCAGAACCAAATCGTTCATTTACCTAGTCCATCTCCGGACACGCCGAGCGTCAAGAATAGAGTGAGCAAATTAGAAACGCAGGGCCAAAGAAGGAAGGGTTTGGTACTGAACCTGACGAACCAATTCGAGGCAGTGAGTAGCAAACCGTCGTCCCCCGGCTCGGACTCCGACAATAAACCGCAGCCGCAGAGCCCAGTTTCCATTACGAACGAGAACGGACTTGTACAGCAAACGTTGGAGGCCTTATCGAGCGTGTCCGCGAAACAAGATGTTTGGACGTCCGGCGAGAAACAAGGGAAGAAAACGGAAAGCGTTAACAATAGTGAATGTCTAGTCTGGACTGCATCGTCCGATGCAACGTGTACCAATTCGTGTAATAACGCTAAGACTAACGGTGAAGTGAGTGCGGAGAGTGAATGTGTCGCGACGATGACGATGTATCCGGGCACCGTGGGCCGAAAAACAAAGAAGGACGGAGACCCGTTCAGCACCCAGGTGGACAGAGTGTTCGACCGCGAGGAGAGGCAAGGGGAGCCGGTTACGAGAGACTCTCCGAGCCGGCAGAGTTCTTGGAGCAGTTACGACAGCGCTGTGGTTCTAGACAATAATTCCGTGCACAGTTCGTGGGCTACGCTACCGTCGAGAAACAGTTCCTGGGGTTCGTACGACATGCGCCCGACGGACCTGCTCGGCTCCAGCGGTTTGTTTCCTTACGACAAGGAAGAGATACCGTGGCATCCGGGCACGGTGAAACGCACCAAACAGAAGCTGGAAGAGAACACATCTTCCGGTACCGTTAAACGCGTATGCACGCAAACTTCCGACGCGGAGGACAAGGAAAGGCTACCCGTCGAAGAAGAATCGTACAACCCGGTACTCCTCGATTACACGGCGTCCCCGACACCGCGAAGAAGGGACTCTTCGCCTTGTCAAGAGCACAACTTAAAAGTGGACACCACCAGAAACTCTCCGAGTCCCGTTAGAGGAATCGACATCTCGTCCCCGTCGATTCGTCAGATCGGAAGGCTGTCCACGAGCGCTCCGGCTCCGTCTTCTCTGTCCTCGGACACGGATCTCCCGTCGTCGTTGAGGTCCTGCAGATCGGAGAGCGAAACCTCGAGCCCCTCCGTAGTCAACACCACTCAGTGTCCTTCCGTGAAACACCACAAAATGGTCCTGGAAAATCTAAGCAACAAATCTATATTCAACAAACGCTGTCTGTACATGGGCGATTCTTTGGAAGCCGAGTGTCCGCGAAATACATCCGGCATCGTGAAGAATCTCAAGAAGGAATTCGAGGCGAAATCGAGCAAGCCGGAGAAAAGTCCTGAGAACAGTTTCGAGAACGAATCGTCGATGGTTAGTCGGCCAAAGAGGGATGTAAAGATCAGGAGTTTGCCCTCGTCGCCGGTGATTCCTCACAATGAATCGAAGATACAGGCCCCGTCCGAAACCAAAGATGAAACATTGACGTCCTCGCAGGAGAACACGGAAGACTGGTCGGTCAGGGTTTTGGTGGGCAAGTACGAGGTAAAACCCGATCCGAGGAAATCGTCGGACATTCAGCTGCGCGTGCACAAAGACAAAGAATGGGGGGACTCGATAGAGTCACCGGCTTTGGCGAAATCGAAAATCACTCCCGAATACAGCAGAAGGTCCGCGCCGATCATGATCGACGATCATTCGTCCCCTCTGTTCGCCGAGGCACCCGAAGCGCCTGGCAGGCCACCAGTCCCCTCGGCCGGAGTCGTGGCAGCTACCAAGAAGCAACAACAGCACGGCAGAACCCATCCTCTCGCCAGGCTGCAGGTCAGGCCTAGGCATAGCAGTCCGGTTTACAACACCATGTAAAAGGGGAACGATTTTCTCCCACTGTCGAATCTGAGCGCGCGTACCTGAGTGCATGGGTATGTTGTCGTGGCCACGATGAAACTGTGTGATCTCTACTGATGCCAACAACTCGAGGATGGTCCTCCTCGAACTCGACGACAAATCGACGAGGACAAGATTTGTATTCGCTTCCCACCATCGTCGATGTACAATTTACCGTTCGCGAGAGTCCTGTACTGCAATCCGTGATAATCAGACAAAAAACAGGACGCTTATTTTTTTTTTTTTTTCAATGTTACTAAAAACTGATGCAGTCCATAAACGTCGCGTATCGCCCTCTGGAAAGATCATCGTTCGCGGTCAATTATTTGGTAACGATAGGGGCGATAAGAGACCGACAATTGTTTCCATGAAAATACTTTGAATAGAATCATTTTTTGCGACGAAATAATTGGATGACGGTAGAAACGAAAACAAGAGTACTCGATTGCACCGTTGCAGAAACATTTTGTATCGTTCAACGTTTTATTTATTTTTGTAACTTGTACAAAACGTTTTGACAAAGATTTCTGTACTTTTTGTATGAATTTTGTAAACAGAAAACATGTCTTTTTCAATCAAGATCTTTACTTGCCAAGTCGAGGGAAATTATCGACCGAAACATCTTGTGTATATTCGAATCCGAAGCCGATTTTATCACGGTTCGAGCGATATATATATATATATATATATTTTTTTTTTTAACATATTTTTATATGATACATGCATTAGTTCGATAGAAAATAAATTTATCTTCCACGAGTTTAATTCCTTCCATTGAATTTTTAATCGTACAACGCTTGCGTATTTGGCATCACGTAGATCGATATCGTTGATGCAAATATTTCTTTATCCGCGGTGATTAATTACAGGTGAAACGATTATTCCTCGTTCTCCTGTTCGATCAGAATACAAAAAGAGTTTCTACCGTAATCCTATTAATTCGTTGCATCTATTTTTCTAGCAAATAGTACTTTTGTAGAGAACGTAACGACCATCGAGAGTTTTTTTTTTATTCCGTTTACCGCTATCGCATGATGTCCGATACGAACGATGAACAACGTAGAAGACAATACAAAAATCGAATATATCGCATCAGTTTTGGAAAACGTTTAAAAGGTACAGGTGGCCCTGATCTTATTGTCGCCGAGTGTAATTTTAAGGCACGTTCAAGGTCCTTTAACGTTTTATGTTCCTTCTTCGTCAGACGTGTCTTGGCCTGCTCTTAGTTCAATTATTTTTTAAGCTGAAAATGTAACAATTAGAAGAACGCGGAAACTGTTATTCCTACGATATGTCGTCATAGACCTAATGGGCTTGGAATCAAACGTGATGTTTTACGAGACGTCATGCAGAAGTTAGAGCCAGCCTTCGGGTGTTCGAAGACGTAAGCGACGGCTCGGTCAGGCTGTGAACGAAAGGTCCGAGCCCCGCCACCATGCTGGCTCTTTCTTCTGCTTCGTTGTGATTGCCGAGGCGTAAGCGAAAGATTGTATACAAAAAGACCTCGGAACGACGTAACGTTAAGCTATACTATTAGTAATTTAGAACGAACAATGTGATTAGGATGGTGCACAGTATGCGAGAAGACGAAAGTAGCAAACCCTCTATTTTCCTGGAGGAGCTGCTCCGAATCGTTTAAACGATTCTGGTGCCTCTGTTCGACCAATCGTTATCAACTCTACACTTCGCACTCCCGCAATCATAGCGTCATCGTGCGACCCGATTGATTTTCCGTTCGGTTCAACGTACCGCTTTTTAACAACCAGTGACGACGATACTCCGTCGAAAATTGTACCGCTGTGACTCGAGAAGGTACAATGAAAAAATACGGCTCGAAACACTGCCGCCCCCCCGCCACGTGTTCTCAATGTCACAGCGTTCGTCGTTCTCACACATATCATCGGACCGCTCGTTTTGTTTGCGTTTGCAAAGCCATGTTGACCAATTTTATACTCCCCTGATGATGATGAATGCGAGGCTTGTTTTGATAAGATGCACCGTGACGACTGTGTGTGTAGAAATATATTTTATTACTGAGATAATTTTGCAAATAATTTCTCATATGTTCATTCTAACTGCTGTTGTCTCTCGGACGAAGTATTCGAAGAAAAAAAAAATAAAAATAAAAAAAAAACAATCCTAAGAACGAATGCTATTAAACTGTAACGCATTAAATTAGAATAAAAAATGTTACTTCGCCAATATTGTGCTTTACGTTAAAAATTCAAGAGGAAACAAATTATTTCACTCGGTACGATTAAACTTCGAAAATTCACTTTGGAATCTTTTTCGGCTCCGGCAAGAAAAAAAGGTGTCTTTGCCTAAATTATCTCTACGACAAAAATAATAAAAGTAATCCAGATGATTCATCGTGCAAAAATATTATTTCTTCTTTTGTAATTTAAATAAAGCGTGCCCAGATCTAACCCTTATCACTCCAACCGGCAATAATCCCGCCAAACTTGTGCCAACGTATTACTTGAATCGAAGGTATCGCTGTTACAATTTTTAAACTTTAGTATTATTGCGTTTAGTGCAGCGCAGGCCCAAAGTATAAGTCAAGCTCAGTGATGGGCAAAACCCTAGGCTTCGAATAAATCTGAAGTTTGCCGACATGTTTGTCTCGTTTCCTCTTTTGAACATTTTTCAAAGAATGAAACGAGACAAACACATCGGCAAACTTCAGGTTTATTCGAAGCCTAGGGTTTTGCCCATCTCTGGACTCGAGCTGAACAACAGCATACCTTCAGAACAGAGTCCCTTTTACGAAACTATACTGTAATTGGTATCTGCATACCAGGGGCACATCTGCGCCTACAAGATGGCAACCGAACCGACAAGGCAACTAGTAGAGGTTGCCACATGTAAGGGGCACCACTGCGCCTACGTGATGGCAACCGAACCGACAAGCCAGCTAGGGAAGGTTGCCGCATGAAAGGGGCACCTCTGCGGCTATCTTTGGTACGTATGATATTCTGGCTAAAATTTTACATTTTGGTATCAGGAGAACAAATTACAAGGAAATAGTTTTCATGCTTTGTATTTTCCAACAAAATTCGCACTAAAATATTCTTTTAAAACTTACATTTCAGAGAGTAATTTTTAAACATATCTAAAAGTAATGGTAAAGTATAAGTATTCTTACAAATAAAAAACTACCTTATAAAATTTGTACAGTGTCTCTTCTTAGCACTTTGAAATGAACAAAGTTTGTCTGGAATTCGTTGAAAATCACCCCCATGATATTCTCGGAGTGATAAGGACTAATTACATTAACCGTTAACTTTACACAAAAATTTGCTTTTATCGATGCGTTTAATTCTCAATGTGAATAAACATTTGCATGCTACTGAAATTTTAATTGTCTGTCAACCAGGTTGAGCGTCTATCTCGAAGAGTCGCCTGCCAGCACAGAACGCGATTTGCGGTATCACGGTGGCCGTTCTCGTTTTCTTCGCGTGCTTCGGGTTTACAAGACCAACGTCCATGCTATACGTACCTCCGTTTAGATTTCTAATCATCGCTATGGTCTGTCGAAGAAACAACGTCGTCGTTACAGGCTCCCGGTAATTGAAGGGTATCTCGTGAAACTTACAGCGTGCGATCTCAAATCGACTACTCTGAAGAGATCCACATCCGCCCCGCCGCAAGCGAGAAACATGTTTGTAACGTATTTTCCACAATAGAGCAGAGAAGAATAACTGTCGGGTTCTAAGGAGACGAGAAGCTTCCCGCTACCATAGTCCCACAACTGAATAGGATTCTGTCGTTGCCAGGCGCAAGACAAGATCTGTGTTTATAAAATGTATTCGATAAGGATGTTGTAAATGTAAATTAAGCTAGCAGTAAGCGTTACATTGTAAACACGAAGGTCAGGGGGTCGAGTGCCGAGTGCTCGCACGTGTATCGGTTTCTTCTACACGATGCTTTCGCACGGCTGCGACAATCACAGTCGGTGATGATGCGTGCACGTGGATGGGGTGACTCCGGTAGAATAACCCCACCACGAGTAGGGCAGAAAGGGAGGGAATGTCCTCTTGGCAGTCGAACAGATAAGGCGTTAGTCTCGAAAATGAGTTCTACCGGAGTCGACCCATCGGATCGCTCTGCAGCTCGACAACAGTCTCGTACAACCACCCAGGAAACGACAAGCATGTTTCGATGAAGCTTGAGTAATTGTCTTGGAATTTTCTAAAGCATTTTCTAAAGCCGGCGACCGACTTGCAACAGAACATTGTAATGTAACGCGAGCATATTCGCTTAGTCTGGACGGACTCTTGCGCTTCACTGGTCTGTCGGTTTTTTAACGAACCTCCTTGATCGTCTACTTTTCATTGAACCGAGTAGGAAGCATTGAGTTCGAAGCGTGCATTCGTGATTCCAAAAAGGACCTTGTAATGTACCGTTGGTGTCGAACCGTAAAATTCGTGCCGAGCAGTTACATTACAGCGTTCTGTTGCAAGTCAGTCGCCGACTTAAGTCAAGTGTAGCGTTCCTGAATTTTGGATGTGAATACCTCTCTTCCATTCCTACTGATGTCGAGTCCATCGCCACACATGTGTACACCCGATATGCGTCGAAGCGCGTACGGTTGTCTGGTGTCCCAAAACTGAATCGTGTCATCCCAGCCACCAGAGATTAGCTCGTGTGCCGATTTCGGGTTGAAACATGCACTGAAGATCCTCGACCTGTGACCGTCCATGATTTCCAATGACTGGCTAGAATACAAAGTACGTATTTATACACCAGAATGTTCATAACTGTAACTGAAATACGGTACATTTAAGCAAACCTTGCGTGAAACACCCTTTCTTGCATCTTAGTTTCCTCGTCGTACAAGAAAATCTTTGCATCGTCGCCCAAGGTCACAAATTTCGGCAGAGAAGAATGGTAAGCCACACCCAGTGTCTGTCTCTTCTCTCTTATCGTGTAAAGGCATTGCGAGCTCGGATAATGCCAACACTTCACGCAACCGTTGGCATCTACAACCAATGTATTCGACAAAAGGTAAGTAATTAATTCGTTACCTCCATAAATAGTATTAAAATTGTCGCAAAAAGTAGATACATTTACTAGTATTTATACTAACATGTCGCGATGAAAGTTCGCGTGATCGGGTGAGATTTGCGAACAGGTCTGTGTTTAACTGCTGTTGCTGGACTAGGCTTTTGTATTATCTCGGTGTCACGCAACGTTTGCGCATCTTCTTCGGAATTTAATTTGTACAATTTTATCGTACCATCCGCCAAGCCTGCCACCAGAGAGTCACGAGTCTCCGTGTAACATATGCAGAGGGCATCTTCTCCGATATCCCTAAAACGATATTTCTTAATCGGTCAAATTTTAAACGTTCGAAAATTCGAGAACTTGAAATACGCCCCCCAATATTTATTCCTTCTTTATTACGCGACGAACGACTACTTTTTAACACGTTGGCTGCCAAGCTAAAACTCATGAAAATTTCTACAAAGTTCAAAATTTTGTCTCGAGACTATCGAAGATTAGATAATTTAACATCCGTCGTGGCATTCTGTTTTCTAACGTCGTCAAATTCACGAATCCTGTCAAAGTTTATTTTCATTGTTGTCTCACCTTAAAAATTACTTTTTTTTTTTTAGTTCCTTGATAAAAAGTCCTGTCACCCATTTCTGGATGACGTGGCGACCAACGTGTTAAAGTCGTGCTGACATTGCCGGAAACATCAATTTAGTCACGGTCGCCGATAGGACCTTTAGAATTTCGTTCGTTTTCGAAAATTGCCGGAACTTCAATTTATTTTTTCAATTAGAATTTTTAGCCGACTACATGATTCTTTGCTTACTACTTAAAACTAAACTTACATACAATTGTCTGACGATAGTCACGTTGCCATCTACGTGAATTCGATCTCGCGTGGTGGATCTAGCACTGCCTAGTGTGGAAGAAGTCGTTGGATCGGTATTCATGGCTCATAAGGCGTGCTGAATTTCTTAACCTCTCGATTCTGTTGGTGGCGAACGCAACAAAAATGATCACACATACATGAGTACGTACAATTTAGTTGCGCTAAATTAAATCAAAGATGCGTAACGCATGACCCCAAATTTTATGTGAAATATTTATGTTACAACTGAAGATAGTACCTTATATTTATAATCATTTTCGAAAATGCAGGAACGCCATCTTTTAAGGATACAATTAGACGTTAATTAACGATAATATACATTTCCTATAAAATATTTATTTTAAAAAATGCATTTTAATCATCGCGAAAGAAACTACATACAATTTATGTTATCGAGCATGTTCAACTTGAATAGCAGGGGTGGCCAGTCGATTACTTTCGAGCACAATCAACCGGGCATGTGAAGCATATGAACGGTAAAATTACTAAATGTACCTATAAAATGTGTATAGTCTTGACTAGTTGGTTAATTAATAAAGAACTCCGTCGTAGTTTTTTTTCATGGTTTATTATTAAATAAACGGAAAAAAAATAAATACATAAATAAGAAAGATATACAGAGTATTCTTTCTGGTTAACCAATCCCATAATCCTACATTTTTTTCCAAAGTTGTATTATCTTCTTTTCATACATTTTGTGAACAATGTCGCTGTTTCTTTTCATTAAAAAATTAACATTTTTCTTCTTTACAATCTGTATATCAGGAATATTCTTCCCTATATCCCTATGTTGAATACATACATTTTTCAATAGAATCTTAACAATCAAAAATAGGTTAGAAATTGTAATCACAAAAGTCATTGATTAATGTACATATTTCATAACGTCAATACAATTATATGACATGCTGCAAAACTCAACCAACTACATGTTTAAATTAGTCAGAATAGTCATAAAAACACAGTTCCACATCATGCTTCCATCTTCATAGATGATTCCAAAATAAAGAAGTCTATTTTTATTGGAACCTTTCTATGTTTAATCGTAGCTTAAGGCATCATTGTGTTCAATATTAACATTTCTGTCTTTATAGTTGAATGTGCAATCACTAAAATGACTATGCGTCTATCAAATGTGAAAGAGCAAAACTTATATACCATACATTCAGTCTCATTTGATACAATTCAAGTAAAATGTGAAGAAATCTTTAGTTATACCATTTACAATTACCTAGTAGAGATTTAAAAACAAAATAGGTAAGAAAATTTATGAACATCCACAACACAAGAAAATTATAGGTCAATGAAACATCGTGTCAAAGAAAATTTATTTTGGTCATTTTATACTCGGTTCAAAAAATCACAATATCACACCTACAACATTACTAGCATAGACACCCACTTTCTGAGTTTTTAGATGCAAAACTAACCAAAACATAAGGCATAACACAAAACAAAACAGTATGTGCTAATGTGATTATCAAAAGCAAGATTTTGGAGGTTAATCGATCACGACTTTTTCGAACAAAACTTTTCTTACAAGAATACAAAGTAATGATTACAAAAATCGTATCTCATTTTCTAAAGTTAGATAACCTCAAAATATAAACATCATCAAATATAACAAAAAGACAAAAGGTTAATAGCACGAAATGACAGATATGTGCGCACTGTGGATATGACTAATTACGCACGTTTATACAAGATGGAAGCATGTTTTACTTGTGTGCATGCGATATGTATTTTAATCTATCCACCCTAATACATATTTCTTCGTTATCTCCAATTTCCGTTTCCACAAGGTAACCACCTGTTCTATAGTTAATTTAATACTAAAATTTATAAATATGTATTGTTTATTATTTTGTTGTTACAGATTTAAGAATGTTTAACATTAGGATGATTATCGATGTTTTTATGCGCATAATCTAAATAATAAATTTTCTAACTTCTTTTTTTATTGTTTCTCAAGCCTCAAAGAGAGTATTAATAATAACGCGATTAATGCATCGTTGTTGTTTTATTGCTTGCTTTATTTTTTATATTTTTTTCTTTTTTCTCTCCAACTTGCAGGTATACATAAATAATTTTTTTTTTTGTCAAAATACTCTGCAATTTTCTTATATTATTTTTTTCTATAATTTCTTTTCAGTTGAATTCGACGAGGAAAGATTTAGAAAAAATTAATACATACATATAACCACGTTTATTGTATTCCAATTTTATACTTTAATTTGACATGTTATAATTACATCTATACGCATTATATATTTGTGCATATTGTTATTTTTTTAATATTTTAATTTTTCAGTTCCTCAAAATTGATCAAAGTTGACCTATAGATATATCTACTGATCGCCTAAGAAACAAGTTCGTAATTTGTAAAGTACGTAGTTTTACATTACATGTTACATTAGACCGTCGTTGTCTTATTTGGTCATACCATTTTACAAACAGTACAGTGAATTTTCTTATTTTAAAAATTCTTTATTCTGAACATAAGCAATAGCAAGTTAAAGATACAACAAGTACAATGATTATACACTAAGCATATGGACCAGTACCGATCTAAAATTGATTTTTTCTTAGTAAAGAAGAATTCTTTGGCGATGAGTATCAAAAGGCGTCGCCGCGAGAGTTCGCCAGAGGCGTTCGGATAGCACGGACCAATCAGCGCGCAGATGCGCGCGGGCTCGAGCCTCGAGGCTCCCGAGTTGGTTGGCGGTTGGCTGTCAGTTGGTAAGAGTACGCTACGTAGTTCTGTTCGTTCGGTGTGGATGATTGCGTGCAGATCTTCTCCACGTTCAATTCGTTCTCGCGCGTTAAACCCGCGATATGAACACGGTGAATATCGAGGTCGCGTCTGCCGTGTGAACCGGTGAAGAGTTGCGCGGGTGAGTGTGTGTTCGTGTTCGCAGTGAGTATCGTTAACCTTGCGAATCACGGAAATTGGTAGGAACTCGTTCTTCTCGCTGGAAATCGCGCTTAGATCCTTGGTAAGGACCAGTCAGTCTCGCGAAGTTGAGTGGACGCATTGTTCGATTAGAATGTCGGCGTCGGTTACGTTGTTCCCGGTGATGCGACAGTGAACTCAGTGACATCAAGGAAACAGCTCCGGGGTGAGCAGAGTTCACACGTCGAGAGATTTAGAGACTACCGAGGAAAATGGCGGACCTTGAGGCGGTGTTGGCCGACGTCAGCTACTTGATGGCAATGGAGAAGAGTAAGTGCACGCCGGCTGCCCGCGCAAGCAAGAAGATTATTCTGCCCGATCCCAGGTATGTCGATACTTCGCCAATTTCTCGTGTTTTTTCCGCGTTCAGGCAACTTTAGTTACGCCTTGATTCTGCCGATGGGAACGATTCACTCGTAAGCAAGCGTTAGCGGGAGAATTTTGTAAGCTGTATTTGTGTTCATCGCATTCTATATAATTGTTTACTACGTCGCTTTAACTGGATTCATTTTTTAGTCAATATTTAAAGAATATTCGCGATACTTATCCACTCGTACCGTCTCGCGTATAGGAAAGATCCTATTTATAGTTCGAGAAGCCAGTATCGCAAATGCGACGTTACGTTGGTTTAATATCGTAAGGAATACGAAGAATTGACAGCTGGTAACACGAAAAATAATAGTTGTTAGGTACGGTACATCTGTAATTTATAATTACTGATACCATGCTGCTTTTATATTTAGTTTTTAGGTATAGTACATAATTTATTATTAATTTTAATGAATTTAATTACTCGCGGTTGACTAATGGTTTGTTTTCTTTCGATTCTTATTTGACATTATCGAGCGATTGGTAGGGTTAACATAGATCGTCTGCCACTCAAATGGTGATCGAATTAGGCCCATCGCTACGCCTCACCACGTTTCCTGCCCCTCCCTTCTTCTGTCTCGATACCCTTCCTTGTCTAGCTTGAGTTCGCTGGTCCGGTCTTTCACTGTTTTTCTGCGCATACGTATATTTCCTTCGACACCCAGTCCGTAAGGTGTTATGGTATCAGTTTACTTCAAAGAAGACGAACTTCTTACAGTTCTTACAGTTAACATAAAATGATTTTATGCGGGAACTAATGTAGAATAATATTAAATTTGTATTTATCCTTTGAACGATAATTTAGAAAACATTCGTCAGGATGCATTAATGAAATTCATCTTTACTCGATCTAATCTCACTATTGAAATACATTTTGAACACTTGAGAAATAACTTTATCATTGTCGAATGCGAATTAGCGTTGGAAATGTAGTCAATTTGAGATAAAAGAAATCTTATTGCTATTTTATGATGTACTGTTTTACACTTCCTAAAAGAATATACGTATATAAAGAACTTAGGTATAACTTAGACCGATATTGCTATCAACATTTTAAGGTTCAACGAAATCTAACGTAAACAAAGATTGTCGCTTCACAGTCACCTCTCGAGTGCAGAAGGTTAATTTTAATTAGGACGATAGCCATATCGTTTCAGACCAACAAACTTAGCGCCGCTCTCGTCATATTCCACAATTCCACACTACTACATGTATCTCATTTTTCTATCGAACAAAATAAGTTTTAATATTTTAATTATCGACTCATTTAAAAAGAGTCTTCACCTTAGAAAAAAAGACTATTTACAGTAATCCAAGTTGATATTAACTTCTGTATACAATTGCCAGATATGCAATTAGGCGGTGTAAGTAGACCCTAGTGTACAATCAGTATACAGGGTGTCCCAAACATTTTGTAACACCTTGAAAGGAGTGGTTCGGGAGGTGATTTGAAACAACTTTTTCCTTGGCGATAATGTTGTCCAAGCCATCGTTAAGGAGATATTAACAAAAAACCTCGACCAATCAGAGCGCGAGTATGCCGGTTGAGCGTAGGCTACGCGATAGGCGGCCGCGCTCCATCGGCATACTCGCGGTCTGATTGGTCAGTGTTTTACATTAATGTCTTCTCAACGAAACCTCGGACAACATTTTCGCTAAGGAAAAAGTTGTTTCAAATCACCTCCCGAATCACCCCTTTCAAGGTGTTACAACAACCTTTTTTGGGACACCCTGTATTTATTTAATAGGGTGCGATAAATGTGAAAAAGATCTAAACACATTCGGCGCGACAAAGGTTCGAACTGGTTCGAACTACTTCGAACCGTTAGCATGACGTCATGAATCGTGGCGTCGTTGTTTCTTGTCCGCGACTTTTGTTTCATTCCCCCTCTACTGTTATTTAATACGTGGGCCCTTGTCGCGCATGCACACTGGTTGTAGAGTCAGTAAGGTATTTAATACGACCATAAAACTGGTGCCCTTGGGCGCTTTTCCTCAAGGGAAAATAGAATTATAAATCAAAATAGGAAATACTTCTTTGCACGCAATAATATTAATTATATGGATAAATTGTAACGTAGGGATGGGAGTTGAAATAATTTTACAGACAAAACATGTATTTTATAACTAAAAAAAAAACGGTTTCCGTGGTTTTGGCGCCAACCGTTGCTATAGGATCGTACGGTGTTTCCTATACCTACAGCACTGCGCGTTCAGCTTTTTCGACGCGCATGCGCGACTGGGAGCCAAATCTGGCGTCGCAGGATCGGTACGGTTTTTCTGATCTAGTCTTGTTTCGGCGGTGGTCCTGAGCGTTAAGGAGTTACTTTAAACTACCACAGTATAAATTTTCCTGTACGATAAAGTACTTTTACACGCGATTAAAGAGCCCGTATATTGCATAAAAACTTACTTAATCCTGAACACAGTCAGATCAGTGAAGAGAGTGAGCGTGATGATTGTGCGTCAAGCGGTAACAAGATATAAACCTACTGCATTATATTTAATTAAAAAGGTTAGATGACATACTATTTTATTCGTATCTATTATTTGGTATTCTATGTGTATTCATATAAGAATCTTATTGAGGGGGTACATTCAGTCAACGGCGTGGAAAAAATGTGTATTTCGAATAACCTTTCTTTACAATAGTTCCATATATTTTATAAAAAAAAAATAATACTAAATAATTTCAAAACAAAATGTTTATTGTTAACAAAGTTATTACCATATTAATTAATATATGTAGCGGTTTGCGGCGAGACTTTTTATACGTTCATCTAAAATCAATCCAAAGAACAAAATTAACAAAATGACTGCCACTGATCGTTTACCTACGCATTTTCAAGGAAAAAATGCGCATGTTTTTTGTTTAGAAGAATTAAAGTTCTCGTCAAAACGGAAATTTGAACGATTAATAATCAGTTTTTTATCCGTAAGAATTATTACTCTTTATTGGTAACACGATTTTTCTCTTTATGTTCCAGGTATGTCAGGCAAACTTAACATAGGCGAATCCACAGCTAATTTCCAAAGAATTTTTTCATAACAGGTATTTATAATAATTATTGTTAACAAAAATGTATTAGGTTAACGTACTGTATGTTCTTTAAGAGAAAGCTATTGTAAGCAGATAATATATTTGAGCAGCGAGAGAAGTTCGATTTTTTTTTTTATTGAATGATCAAGGGATGTATGATTTTTTCCATTTACTTGACAATATCGTCGTTAGCTTGTTAATAATAATTACGAAACGTAAAAAGTTTGCAATAATAGTATGCCGACTATATTGCTTTATATGAGAAACGGGGATTATGATACAAAATTAATGGTTAAACGTTATTTTAAGGAACACAAAATGATGGGTTTTTTTTTTCTCATTTGATTTTTTTCTCATTGGACTGTATCTTTCCGGTAGGATTAATTACTCCAAAAGTCTTGATATCTCTACAAAAATGAATCGCGACGATCAAATCAGCTCAAGCGGAGACAAATTTAATCTTATATATTACGCGATGAAATGACTTTTTTCTATAAAGCACTCGACGATGGAGATAAGGAGGTTCAATACATGGCGAAAAATCAGGATAATAGAGAATATGAAAGCGTTCACGATGCAGCAAAGGACACGAAATCCAACAGTTGCGAATAGTTGCGTTCACAGAATCCGATGAAATACCTTCAAGAATACAATTCATTCTCGAAATATCCTTTCTTATTCCTTGTATACATGCTAAAGGAAACCTCTGTGTGCAAAATTTCAGCTTTCTAGGTTCAAGGATTTCGCCTGGACGTTGATTGTAATCAGTCAAGGCTTCATTCTTATATACGGTGTGTTTCGTTTATCTATCAAAGTAAATATCTCGTGACGCGCTGAAGTTACGAATAAAAATTTATTTATAAAAATTGTTCGATTTGTAGGGTACAATCATACGATGTAAATTTTTTCGGGCCTGGAATAGTAGGGAGAAGGGATTTCAAAGTCAAAATAAGTTTTTTAAATAGAACTATATATTTTTTTTTCATGGCTTGACAGCTTTTTACGAAACGAATTCAACGGTTATTCACCCGATATATGTCCTACCATTACCTACTCAAAACGTTACAAGTTTGTAATATAATTTCTAACGTTTGGAAACAGCAAATTAAATAATGTAATATACCGTTGAATTCGTTTCGTAAAAAGCTGTCAGGCCATGAAAAAAAAAATATATAGTTCTATTTAAAAAACTTATTTTGACTTTGAAATCCCCCCTCCCTACTATTCCAGGCCCGAACAAAATTACATCGTATGATTGTACCCCGCAAACCGAACAATTTTTGTAAATAAATTTTTTTCGTAACTTTAATGTGTCACGCGATATTTACTTTGCTAGATAAACGAAACACACTGTATGTATATAGATAATAAACAGAGTTTATTTTGCACCTCTATTTTCTTTCATTTATTATAGCTTCATACCTAATATTCGTTAAAATTACTTCGGGCATTGCTCTCGAAGTGTAAAGTGAAAAATTAAACAATCCAAAAATTTGTACACGTAATTATATTCTCGATTAATTGTATTCGCTATCCTAGACAAAATTACAAAGCGACAAAATAAAAATTGCGATGTGTCCGAATATTACAGTTGTTGACTGTAGATCTCGTTGTCGAAGACCTAATATCGATACACCTAGCGTAGACACGATGAGATGCGTGGGTCACTAAGAGGTAACAATATTTTGATTACAGCTTTATAATATTTAATCGAAACTGGATTTTGTTACGAAGAAAAAATTTATCGAGTGCATTTTTTTTGTTTTTTTTTTTGTTTTTTTTTTAAATATTAATTTCCATCTATTTTTAGGAAGCAGGTAATTATGAGAGTTTCATCGTTACAATCGAGTATTTCTTTCTGTTGCAGTGTAAGAAGCGTAATGCACAAGTATTTGGAAAAGCAGAAGGAAGTTCACTTCGATAAAATATTCAATCAAATGTTTGGTGAGGAATTTTCTAGTATACTTTGTATTTACGTAATAATAAGGAAAATTCGTGAAATTTCGTTAATCCGAATTACTAAGAGAATAAAATAAATCACTCGATTTACCTTGCGAAGTTCTGGAAACGTGAATTACTCGGAATTTTATTTTCGGATCTACGAAATTAGATCATCAACGGAGAATGGTCTAGGACCTAGACCTAGGTAGTAGGTCTGTCGACTTCAGCCAAATTTTTCCTGGTAAATCTGGAACAAAAAGGAAGACTCGTTCCTTCCTTACAGTACCATAACGACAAACACGATTAGCTAATAGCATGAACGCAATCCGCGTATATTGTTGATGTTAGAAAATGGGATCTAATAAATAAGTCCTCAGGTTGTCATTCCTTTTATAGTATTTTTACTAAGTACGCGTTGAAATTGGCATTCCTTTCTCAAGCTCTTTCTGAAGGGAACTGAGCCACTAACGAAAACGTACAGAACCGATAGAATTAGTGTAAGAACCAGAAAAGGTGGTTAGCTGAGACGATTCTGAGCCACAATTTCCTTTGCAAAAATGTCGGACGGTGCTTCGTTTTTGAAGTATCAACGAAAATCACCGTCCTGATCACAGCACCTGAGCAATTAAACGCGTTGGTGCGCAATTAAATAATCGGGGCGCCACACAGTGGGACGACGCTGTATAAATATTGGACATTGGGGCAAAAAATAAACATACAAATTTTAAAACCTAAATACATTTTAATGAATCTTTAAACCTTTGACAATTATGTTTCATAGTATGATTACGTTTTGCTTTACTATTTACCTCATGACATCTGAAATTAGTTACGTTGATCTATTTATCTTTTCTTTAATTTACGTTGTAATTCTTGTATTACATGACTTTAGCAAAAGAATGTGTGCACAATATCTAATGTTGGAATTGTAATAATTCTAAAATAAACAGAAAGATGATTTAAATGTACAACAGAACTTTGTTACATTTGATTGTAGAGGTTGTAAATGTTTCTTAAATTTTGACAAAGAAGCAACTAAAAGCAACAACTACGTGAACGGCTATAGTCTACATACTTCCTAAAAACAAATGGTGCGAAGTTTTGTCTGGGCGAATTTAGGCGATTTTTATAATTAAATAAAACATTTACAACTTCTACAATCAAATGTAACAAAGTTCTGTTGTACATTTAAATCATCTTTCTGTTTATTTTAGAATTATTACAATTCCAACATTAGATATCGTGCACACATTCTTTTGCTAAAGTCATGTAATACAAGAATTACAATGTAAATTAAAGAAAAGATAAATAGATCAACGTAACTAATTTCAGATGTCACGAGGTAAATAGTAAAGCAAAACGTAACGATACTATGAAACATAATTGTCAAAGGTTTAAAGATTCATTAAAACGTATTTAGGTTTTAAAATTTGTATGTTTATTTTTTGCCTCAATGTCCAACATTTATACAGCGTCGTCCAACTGTGCGCCAATGCCGGGAAATGCGACACGTTGATTTTCAGTCTAACAAGAGATACTCGGAAGAATGAAAATATCAAAAGATCTGCATCGTTTACATTTGACGACCGAGGCCAAATAAGGAAGGTCTACTTGTCTGATAGATGTATAAACGATATTACAATTAATCGTTTAAAATTCTTCTCCGCTACTCTGCATAGCACATTCATTCTTTATAACACGAAGAGTTACATTCTCTTTTTACTAGTACAATGTATATAGAGATAGATGATTCGTTAATACTAACTGAGGCTTTCAGATATAAACCGTGTTCTTTGGGTAAAGATACTCCGACATTTCGCTAGTATTGCAGCTAGTTTCTTCGAACGGCAAATAATGAAACTAATATTCGTTTATTTCGTGTAGCGGGGGTCACTTGAAGGTACTTGTGCTTACACGTTTCGATTCGTTAGCTAGCAGTTACTGAACTTATGGTACCATTGCATTGGTCACCTGTAAAAGTTTGTTTGATTATTATACAAAATGAAGTAATTAATGACATTGTAAATCCTTATGTATATGTTTAATAAACGAATGAAAGAGTAAATATTTGTCTTGAAATTCATTTATTTACTTCATATACACGTACCCCTTACTAACAGAACGAGGAAAAAGTACTTTTGCCGTGAATAATAGATACAAGTCTCCAATCATCTAGCGATAGGGCCGTTACAGTAGCAATAACAGGCGGAATCACAGCAAAACCATTCTTCACGGTTGAAGAATTGACGCTCGGTGAACAAATAAACCGAGAGGTTATTTTTATATTTGAAAAATTTAGAGATGAGAATGCTTCGGGATTCTGTAAAACTTGAAATGCTAATATTTTTCCTTTTTTCAAGTATCTGCTTTGTTAGAAATTGAAATCTTACCGTGCACTGTGGCACTGTATGAAATAATAAGGTACAGATGACGAACAATCAGTAAAAATGTTTCGTATTGCTTCAACCACACCGTTCTCGATGTTTATAATAAACATTACCTCGGACAAAGACAACGGGTCATTGAATACAGAATATTTAAACCGTATTCGATCGGTTGCGTAGTTGAACAAACTAAAAAATCGATTTTTTGACATTTTTGTCTTATTATCTTACGTAGAGTCACAGCTCGCTCGGGTGTACTACGAATTACGGCTCAGCCAGTTCGCTTCGTAGTCGTTAACCAGTTTTCGAACAGAACGGTGGCTTTACGAAAGCGAACAAAAATTTACCGATCAACGAGTATATCGTCTCTTTCTCATTTTGTACTTTCAGGTTACCTCTTATTCAAAGACTTCTGCGAGAATGTGGCGGAGGAGCCGATTCCGCAACTTAGGTTTTACGAAGAGGTTCGTGTTAACCCTTATACACATTAATTAAACTCCGATAGTGTGGAGACACGCAACGACGCCATCCAACTCCATAAGGAATTTCTTATTTATGCGTTATAGATCAAGGCGTACGAGAAGCTGGAATGCCCGGAAGAAAGAAGAAAACTTGCCAGAGAGATATACGACAACTTTATCATGAAGGAGTTACTAGCGCATACACATGTGAGTAAATTTCATTCGGAATTTTATCGTCGGTATTTTTGCAACCAAAATTCATTGGATACTCTATAGTAGGACAATATTGGAAATGGGTGTTTTAAATAACTGTAGACATTGTATTTATACTTTTAAGGGCGCGCAGGAGCCAGAGCCAAACTCCGAGTTGACTTCAACGACAGTTGCGAAAGAACTAGGAAACTCCGGGACAAGGACAGAGAGGGCGAATACAACAATTGCAGGAGAGACGAGGACAGTGCGATTAGGCTAGCACGAGTTTTTTTTTCCAGGATATTGAAGCAAAGAAGCAATATTTTCTAATAATTCTGGTTTTAATATATTCGTTACACTTTGGCGGATGCGACTCCGAGGCCTGATTTTACAATTTCGGCCTTAAAGCTTTATAAACAATAAAATGAAGATAGCAAACGTACTTTTATTGTTTATAAAGTTTCAAGGCCTAAATTGCAAAATCAAGCCTTGGAGTCGCATCCGCCAAAGTGTAACGAATATATTAAAACCGGAATCATTAGAAAATATTGCTTCTTTGCTTCAATATCCTGGAAAAAAAAACTCATGCTAGCCTAATCGCACTGTCTTCGTCCCGAAGTTTCATACTTTTTCCGCAACTATCGCTGAAGTCAACTCGAAGTTTGGCTCTGGCTTCTGCGCACCCTTAATTAAAACTAGACTATTATTATACGGCGGAAGAAGCTCTCTTTACTCGTCTCGATCACTGTTCCGACTAACTGAAAGAACAGCGAGGAAACCCTAAAGGAAATCATGGTCATCTCATCTCTCTAGACTGTTTAGGTTACATCCCGCCACAGTCCGGTTCTGTAAACAAATTATCAAACAGGATACCTGGAAATAAAACGATACCGAGATCGCTTCATCGATATATCCAATCTCTGTTTAACGCGTTGATGGCCGCGTCACCCATATATGGGCGTGCCACTGCTTCGCATTGAAGAACAAACAAAATTAATTCCGAACATTAAGTCATATCAAAGCAAATAAATTTGAATGGAATTCTTGAACATCAACGAAGCTATAAAAATAAATAGCACAATGAATGTTTGATTATGTAGTTAGTGATTTGAATTAAGTCGACTAGAACTCGAGATATCATGGCAACCATTTCAAAAAATATGGTCACGAGGAAATCGCGTTGAAGGTTTTTCAAAGAATTTTAAAATGCTGTATACAAATGAACCGAAGACGATAACGTGGTCTAGATTCTTTTTTATTCTGGAGTTTCCTGGTCGACGTGGTGGGATAAGATATATCTGTTTCAATGCTATACGGATTTCCTTGAGATTTTCTTTTTTTAGATCGAGAAGCGTGAACATTCTTTCCTTTGGCTCCTTTTTTGTCCATGTTTATATACAACTAGCGGTGCCCCGCGGTTCCACCCGCGTGGAACACTGTTTACTTTATGTCGTTCGCATTCGACCGCGTGTGCCTTCGTGAATCGGTAGGTGACTGTCTTTTGCTTTCCCTAACTTTTGGAACAATCTACCTGATATCACAGTACCGAAATAACTATGCGCCGTTCGTAATATAAATTCAGCTTGCAGCACTTTTTATAGAATGATCGTAACACAAACAAGTACTAATTTGAAAACATTGCTAGAGAAACATCACCGAGGATATCATATTATGTGTGTCATACCTATATATAGCGAACGATCAATAATTATCTGCGCCAGGGACTGTGAAGGCAGTCTTTTTCAAGAACAGACATTTGACAGGAACTACCTACGCGCGAGTTCCTCTCACTATTCTGTAAAACGGGATTCCACTGTGACGGGTTGAAAGAATCAAATTTCTTTTCCCATAAATCTAAAAAATACAATGTTTCAAGAATATATCACAAAAGTAGCATCGCAATTAAAATTGAAATAACGAAATTAAAATTAATTCTGTGAGACCGGTCAGAGTTTAAGAAAGAGCGCCAGGCGAGTCGAATTCAACGATTTCGAAATTGTTCATCGAGTTCTCGAAGAACGGCTCAGTGTACTATACCAACGGATACTTTGTTCTTTTTACAGACCGCTAATACCAGCCACGGCTCCTTGCTGTTGTTCCTGCTAATATAAATCTAAGGATCTTATTATAATACAAGTTTGCAGCCATTAGCTCGCTATTGGATCCATTAGGATCGTTCGAACAATCTTTCGTCGCGGAGGGAGATAGAAGGAAACAAAATTCCTTTGATTTCGCTCTGTACAATCTTAGAAACTAAGTACGCGAAGAAGGCAATAGGAGGAAACAAGGTTCCTTCGATCTCCATTTACAGTCTTAAAAACTAAGTACGAAAAGGAGGAAATAGAAAGACATCAAGTTCTTTCGACTTCCTAGTCTGACTCTGCCAAACAATTATTGAAAACTTTCCCTTTTTAACTGTTTGGGGTACGGTGGGATTAAAAGTGTCCCACCTTTTCGATGGACCGTAATGCATGGTGGGACACTTTTAATCCCACCTCGAAATTTTGCAATAGCTGCATGTGGATAGGTGCGATACCTTTATTAATAAAAATATAACAATTTTGTTTGATTTAAAACGCAATAAAATTCCTGTGCAACATGGGTCTATTTTATGACCTGAATTCCTGTGCAGCAAAGAGTTAAAGGGAAGAGTAAAGGTAATGTGAGATTTACCGTGCAGACTTGCTGGGTCAGTCCCATGGAAATCAAAGGGAGTCTGTTTTCCTTGATTTCTATGGTTTCGTACTTAGTATTAAACTCGTCGATTGTATACTCTATGTAGATTATACATCTATGTATACTCTATGTAGTGGGAGATCGAAGGAACTTGAATCCTTCTATCTCCGGGTCTCCACTCGCAGCAACCTCCACGTGGTGAGACCTGGTAATCGGTATTATTCGTGACGAACAATACTTCGTCGCGATTAATAGCGAGCTAATGGCTGCGAACTTGTAATAAGATCTTTAGATTAGCAGGGACAACACCAAGGAGCCGGTACTAGTGGTCCGTGAAAGGACAAAGTATCCGTTGATATAGTACATTGAGCCTTAATCTATTCAATCTTAATTGCGATGCTATTTTTGGTACACATTGTTGAAACATTGTACTTTCGATTTATGCAAAAAAAAATTTTATTTCTCGCCCAAATTCTACAGGGTTATGTAAAAAAAAAAAACATAAAGCTTAAAAGTTTTAAATCCGCCAAAGTAAAGTTTAACCCTCCCTTTTGGATGCAGAACAGCACTTAACAGCATTACTTAATTTTTAAATCATTTTTGTTTCAGGAATACTCTACGGAAGCGGTAACCCATGTTCACAACTATCTAGTGAAAAATGACGTTCCGGTTAATTTATTCGAGGTTAGTACAATTTTGTATCACGCTTAACTTTAACGATGCTAACAACTTGGTTGTACTGTATCAATACGATTGAACCGTATCGATTATCTTTGCAGCCATATATCGAAGAAATTTTTATTCACTTAAGGGGAGAGCCATTCAAGAAATTCCTGGAGAGGTATGTTGTCAACTAACGAAAGAAAGACGAACCGCAGCTCACCTTTCTGTGGCTTGGAAAATTCTTAAGAATTCCTGTTGTATATTTTCAGCGAGAAGTACACTCGTTTTTGCCAATGGAAGAACTTAGAATTAAATATGCAGGTAAATTCACGCTGTTGCGTACTAATTGATACAGACACCGTAGCAATTACACAGGATCGATTTCCTCAGCATGGTCATCTCAAATATTTCCATAGTTTTCCATAAAGTAGAAACAGAAGAAAAAGAAGTTTTGTTCTGGGAGGAAAACCTCTTAATCGAGATAAAATGTTTTATAAGATCATAGATGTTTTCTTAACTAGAACCTGCAGTTTTCTCATTAGTAGTTTAAAAAATAATATATAAGAGAATTATAAACTCACAATAACTTATTGCTAAAATGATTAAAAAAGGCTATAAACAATAACGTTAAAACAAACGAAATGTTAGCATGAAATAGAACAACTCCAATATTATTTTATAGATGAAAGTATATATTTATATTTTATGTAGATAAAGCTCAAAAAAAAGATATTAATTGACACTCATAAAAAGTGATAAAAATAAGATATTTAACGACATAAACACGAAGAATAAGTACTTTACTCTGCTCTTTACTTCATTAGATGATAGTTTTGTACTAAAATAATTTTAAAGGCTACGTACGAATACAATACCTACGCTTGTCATCGGTTCGAAGTGTTTACAACTCAAGTGTAGATAGATATTTCTTGATGCGAGATTTCTTTTGGATGGTACCTACATTTTTTTTTTACAGAAGAGTTCCAATTTTCATTTCAGCAAAAGACGTATTCCGTACTACATAAACATCAAAATCTGATAAAACAACTGATGGCTGTAATGACATGGTTACATAATGAACGTTTGGGGACCATATTCCGGAAATAAAAATGATGCTATCATTTTAAAAGAGCATCTCGAGATTAATCTCTGAAGAAGTTTTGATGTAGGAGACGTATTGGTTGTAGATCGCAGCTTTCGAGATTGTACGGACGCTATTACAGAAAAAGGATTTATAAGTAAAATTATAAAATACCAGTTTTGCAGACACTTCTAGAATGATATTAATAACAGAACAGGTAAATGAATGTCGACTAGTAACAAAAGTTAGACATATTGTTAAAGTAATTAACGGAAGAATAAAACAACGATATAAATATTTTGATAATACCATACAAAACACTACAGTATCAACTCCGTTTAAAGATTTTAGAATCACTTATGCTCTACTGTATGCTACAATATACAGTTAGTGTAATAAGTGTTTGTACAGGAGCCAATTCATAATAAAACTTTGTTAACCTCTTGTTTCTATTCTTATTCATTCAATTTTAAATTGGTTACTGTACGAACACTTCTTACACTGACTGTATTTATCTGTATGTATAATACCATTTGTGCGGGACCTATTAAAATGTCATTAACTAGTTTTTTTTTATGTACAAAAATATAAATATTATATTTCATTATTAGTGAAAGGTTGGTCGATTTCATTTATATCTAGTTATTTGTTAAATAAATTTAATTCGTATATTCGATACATTTATTAATTGTATTATATTTATCCAATTGAATATAACAAATTATGAAAAAATTAAATATATTTAAATTTATGTATGTATATATGTCTAATACAATATTTTGAAAACTGCGATTTTGAGAAAACATTATCTCGATCAAAGAGTTTGCCTCCTTCTACTAAACTATTTTATCAATAAAAATAACAGATACAACGTACACATTTAAAGCCGTATGATAAGATTGCATTAAACAGATACTTATATAGAACTGTCCTATATAAAATTCTATAAAATGGAATAAAAATATATTATGCATTTCTTCATTGTTTTTAATATTTATTGTGGTAATTCACTGTTTCAGTTGACAATGAACGACTTTAGTGTGCATCGCATTATTGGCAGAGGTGGTTTCGGAGAAGTATATGGTTGTCGGAAAGCAGACACGGGAAAAATGTACGCTATGAAGTGCCTCGACAAGAAGCGTATAAAAATGAAACAAGGCGAAACTTTAGCACTCAACGAAAGGATAATGCTTTCGGCAGTCAGTACTGGAGTAAGCTTTTTTTTAAAAATGCAAAAGTTATAACATTATCGTCTCAGCTGGCTACGCAGCAACCTGGCGCAAACCAGCCAGTCTTGGGTTGAGCTTATGCTCTCGCGGCTGATCGCGCTCTAATCAGGCCCTGTGATTGGTCTGTGTTTTTCGTTAATAATTCAAAAATGAAGCCTCCACCGACATTCTTGCAAAGGAAATTGTTGTTCAGAATCGTCTCAGCTACCCCCCATTTCCGGCTCCTACGCGAGTTTTGAGACACCCTATAGAATCATAGGGACGAAAGGAAATAGTACATTGGCTAAAATAGTATTAAAGCAGTCGCGAGACTTTCTTGTTAAAGTATTATATTCTTTATTTCCTACTTTTGATTCCACAAAGATCAACTCGAAAGAGATGTTCAGCCATGGTGCGTAGAGTTCGGCGCGGCGGCGTAGCGTAAATAAAAAGTTCAGGCTTTAGGCACGACCTTATTACAATCGTGATTTCGCGATTTCCAGGTGGATTGTCCATTCATAGTCTGTATGACATACGCCTTCCAAACACCGGACAAACTTTGTTTCATTTTGGATCTAATGAACGGTGGTGACCTTCATTATCATCTCAACCAGCATGGTGTGTTCAACGAAAGAGAAATGAAGTTCTACGCGGCGGAAGTGATATTAGGACTAGAGCATATGCATCGCAGATTCATCGTTTACCGGGATTTGAAGCCTGCGAATATATTGTTGGATGAACACGGCCACGTCAGGATATCGGATCTAGGACTAGCCTGTGAGTTCTCAAAGAAGAAACCACACGCAAGTGTGTAAGTACAATCTATCGTTCGCAGATTTGAATCGTATTCGAGTTAAGTTTGCTGTTTGCGTAAAAAGTATTCATCAATGAAAAATATTCGTGTTTCAGTGGAACTCATGGGTACATGGCGCCAGAAGTGCTTTCGAAAGGAGTTACCTACGATTCCAGTGCCGATTGGTTTTCGTTTGGCTGTATGTTGCATAAATTGTTGAAAGGCCACAGTCCGTTCCGGCAACCCAAAACTAAAGATAAACACGAAATAGATCACATGACGCTAACCAAGGTATGTATTACTGTATTTTAAAAATTGTCATTTGTTACATTTCATTAACCCTTTGACTGCGGAGAACGAATATATTCTTCCAAGAATGTTTGCCATTGCCTGCGAAGGACGAATATATTTGTCCATACAAAACTCAACTGTACATATCGGAATACAGTAACGAATCAAAGTCAGGAGCCCATGCATAAATGGGCAAAATTTAAAAATTCCTCAAATAAATTTTTTTTAGATGACACCTTATAGAAAATGACAAGACGAAACTTTTTAATGTTTGTAACGCCTTATTTCGAGCCATCAACGAAGTCGACCTTTTCATTCGTTCCGCACACAGGTGCAAATCGGGGAACGAAATGGATATACAGAGTGTCCCAGAATTAATGTAAGAATGGGGGGTAACTGAAACGATTCTGAACCACAATTTCCTTTCCATAAATGTCGGATGGTGCTTCGTTTTTGAATTATTAACGAAAATCACCGACCAATCACAGCACCCGAGTAGCGTGCGCTCTGCTGGCTACGGCCAGTCCTAGCTCAAGCCTATGCTCTCGTGAACATGAAATTTCGGCCATCACAATAGAGTGACTCCATACGGCCGTAGAGTCAAACGAACTACTACGACGTTTGCAGTTTACTATGGCAGTTGCATAGGAGCGACCAGAGCGGCTCCACACTTGCAGCTGTCGCTGAGCCAAACGACCGCGTCCGATCCGACCGATCGACCAAACCAACCGGCCCGACTGTTCGACCGATAAGTCATCGCAAGGATTTTGTACATATACCATGTAAGTGAACGCAGAGTAAGCAAATTTGAAACTTTTATCCTTCGACCATGGATACACCGGACTGTGAATACAGCACGTCCACCGCACCCGGTGTACACCCATCACATGTTTACCTACAGTTTATTGACCTGACTTGTAGTTTCAAGAATAAAAATTAAATACATCAAAGTTCTTTTTCCTGAAGATTAATTATATTTTAAAATATAAATCGCTGTAAGAAATTGGTAAAAAACATTATGTACATGTAAACTCACTTGGATTGATGATTACATGAAACATTATGTACATCACCTTTAAAATTAAACGTCGAATGAACAAACTGTAAATATAAAACAGTTTCGTCTTGTCATTTCATATAAGGTGATATTTTTAAAAAATTGAATTACGAATTTAAAAATTTGTAATTACTTTAATAATTGATACTTTTAATTAACTGATCTTTCCTTTTGTACTTTGTATATTTTAGGGTCGACACGTTTAAATGTAATATCATTATAGAAACTATGTTTATTTGAATTATTATCATCTTTTTCCTATATACTTTCAATATGAGAGGTACTTTTGTACGAATAATACAGTTGAAGACTATTTATTACGGATAGATAAACTGACCGTTCGTATCAGATAATAGTGCGTAGTTTTTCTTCTGTACAGTGAATTGTTGGTAATATTAATTAGCAGAAATAATTTCAGAACGTTGAGCTGCCAGAAACATTTTCAAGAGAGCTGCGCTCACTCTTGGAAGGTTTACTACAACGAGATATTAACAACAGACTCGGTTGCCGGGGGGCAGGAGCTGATGAATTAAAAGAGCATCCGTTTTTCAGTGGTATTGATTGGCAACAAGTTTATCTTCAGAAATACACGCCACCACTTATACCACCACGGGGCGAAGTAAACGCAGCAGACGCCTTCGACATCGGTTCCTTCGACGAAGAGGATACAAAGGGTATCAAGTTAACAGACGTGGATCAAGACCTGTACAAAAATTTCCCTCTAACCATCTCTGAAAGGTGGCAGGCTGAGGTGGCAGAGACTGTATTCGAGACAATCAATAACGAAGCAGACAAGGTACGAATCACCAACTTATCAAGTATTTTTCCAATTCATGTAACGTGTTAAGTTTAACCATTTTTCTCTTTTTTCTTCTTCTTCTGTAGTTGGAAAATAAAAAGAAAGCGAAGCAAAAACAACGGTTCGACACAGATGAGAAAGGTAAACAGATTATTACTTAATTTAAGCGTATAGTTGTAAACGAAGATTGACAGAGTGGAACTGATTGGAATTATTCGTCATAGGATCGGACTGCATTTTACATGGTTATATTAAGAAATTAGGCGGTCCTTTCGCTAGCGCGTGGCAAACGCGTTATGCGAAACTTTACCCTAATCGGTTGGAATTGCATCCCGAGTCCACGATGAAGCCTGAACTTGTATTTCTTGACCAGGTAAATAAATAAGGAAATAATACGTCAGATATATACGACATATAGTCAAATTCTAGAATGTCGTTAAGAATATAAATCTATTTTAATCCTATTCCAATTACTAACAAATGTATCAATTAACTTTTAGGTTGAAGAAGTCAGCGCGGAGCTACAACATGTGAAAGGGGAACAATGTATCGTCGTCCGCACGAGAGACGTGAAAATAGTACTTACGAATCCCGTAAGTATATTTATATTACGGTCTTGGAAATTCAAGAATGTAGACTTGTATTTTTATAACATAATTAATTAACATTTAATTATTCTTTCAGGACGAAATCAGTCTGAAGGAATGGGCGTTATCGCTAAGATCCGCGCATAAATGTTCGATGGAGATGCTGGGCAACATGGCTAAGAAAGCTGGCAAGATCTACGGAACTGAAAGGGATCCGGTGATTCCACCGATGCAGCGCTCTACGAACGGCAACTAGCCCATTGCTAATATCTGCACTCCGGCGTCATACTCCAGTTCCACTGCCCCTCAGCAGCAACAAGTTTTTTTATACTGAAAGTCAATGCTGAGACCATAGATGAATTCTCAGCGAGGACTGCATCGGGAGGCAACTTCTTGTGGACGGAACCAGAAGTATCTAGGTCTCAAAACAGCTCCAAAGAATCTCCCTTTGAACGACGGGTAGCGTCGCTCTGTATAGAGACTCTAGGAAGTAGTGTCGTACGAACCGTCACGACGTTATATTTGTACGTTAGCTATATGTGCAATGTGACGTAGGAACTAGCAACTGAATAATGTCCATCGATACACACTCTCAAACTCGAAATCCGCACGCGAACGCACGAACACGTACACCATACACTCACCCACCCACGCACACGGACACGCATACGCGCGCGCGCGCGCGGAGAAAGGACACGGTAAATGCAACCAGTAGTGTATTATTGTTATATCAATACGAGGTATAACCTGGTCCTGATTATACTTCTTCACCGTTCTATACCACTCGTTTACTTAATTTATTGATGAATGCAGAACGATTTTATATTGTCGTTACATAATGATGACACGTGCGCAAACTCGTTTATTTATTGTGTTGATAGAGAAGAACGAAGAAAAAATCGAAAAGTTTACATTGTCGGCAGCCAACCGAAGATCGTTGTAATAATTATGTACGCTCGAGTAGGTAAGGTAAGTTTGCTCCGGCAATAAAATTGTGCGACGAACGCAAATCTTGTATATATTTCTTTATTTTACTTGATCCTATGACCATAATAGGAAGATAAGTAAATTAAAGTGAAAGACATTCATTTTTAATGTACATATTCCGGTTTGTTTCACGGTACAGTGACTCCGAGCAGATTGATTTCTTGTAAAATTTGTTGTAATTCGTACAATTCTGATGAATCTTATATTTTATCAGTCTTACAGCCACAGTTCTTACGACTAATAAATAATATTACGGTTACGGTTTTCTTACAACTACGGTTCGACGGTACAGTTGCGGTATCAACAGTACAGCTGCGGTATGGGTCGCACTTCAGCGTCGATGGCTAGCGATTTATAGCGGAGGCTAAGTGGCTGCACGTAGCAACAAGTCGAGTCGTCAGGGCGGATTCGTTAGTGGAGCCAGACCATACGACAACAATTGGAGGATTTGTGGTGAGGTTGTAAACATAATGAAAAAATATTAAAGTGATTAATTGAACACATCGGCTTACGCTATTAAAGAAAAAAGAAAATAATAATAATAATAATATTTCATTTACTTCGTCAACTTTGTAGCCATTAACGAAGAGTCGAGCATAAACCAACAACAAAGTACACATATCATTTTCTCGTTATATTTTGATTAGAATCTTATCTATGCATTGATGAGGCTTTCCCAACGAAAACAAATACAAACACCACCTCATTCTCATTATTTCTAATTTACGTCATTGGAATTTTTCCAGGAGTGACTCTAATGACGTATAATTAAGAATGCTCCAAATAAGACTACAAAATAATGCACAAATATGAAGGTACAAAATGTACTTATTATGTAAAAACAAATTGATGTATAAATATGAACATGAAATAATGAACAAATATCTTATATATAAATTTGGATATGTCATAAGGCTTTAGTGACATTCAAACGTGTGTCAAAGGATTTTTTTAAATTTCAAAAATAATGTATTCTACAGTTGACTTGAATATCAGTGCTACATTTTTTTCAAAAAACATAGATTATTTTCAAGCGAAAATCCAAGGAGGGATTCTTAAAACGGCCGGCGCGTTTTTGTTCCACCATTCGTCGTAAGAAGTGAGATTTCTGCAGAAATGTTTCCCGTATTTACGTAAGCCACCAATCGGAGGGGAAACTGGCCACCGACGCCGTTGCAACAAGCAACTTGCTTTCGGGTGGACAGTCTTAATTCAACTTCTAACCGAGTCGGTTCGGGATTAGTTTTCTTCTAGTGCATCGCGCTCATTAGCGTCACCCAACATACGTACACACATATTCGCGTTGATAGTCGCCGCGTGTTTCCACCTTACCGAATACCATTTTCAAGCGTGAAGTGAAAGTCTTCGCGACGAGTCTTAAAATATTGTAATTAATTAGATATTCGTCAAGTTTGTCTTCTTACTTCATTACCTCCCGTTGCTTCCGTTATTCGTCGAGGAACCAGGAACTAGACGAAGTGTTAAAATTCTACATACCGTACGTAGGATTATTCAATATTTTGAACACGTTCTCTGTCAACAATTCTTATCGCAATTTATCCGAACAATTGACTTTCAAAGAAGTTCATCTCAACTTCGAGTAGCAGTTGCGTCAGATTTATCAGAAATCCATGCGGTTGATGACATTAAAAACCGTAACATGTGGTTATTGTCTACCAATATTCATTAATGCTTCCCGGGAATTATAAGTAGTTTTCAACGAATGTTTACACTAAGTTCAAACATGTCATTTAATTCGTAACTGTTTTTGGTAGCTGTTGCTTGTAGAAAAATTCTATTTTCTAATTTCATCCATGTGCGTTGGCAAAGACGATTTTTTTTGTAACACCTGGTCAAGATCTTTGTTACAAAGGAGCAGTGTATAAAACCGAACTTACGGAATCTAGTGTTGAAACGTAAATAAGTGTAAAGTTTAAGGAATAATCGTAATAACTGTAATTATTAGACTGCGGATCTTTATGCATTTATAGGAAATTTGAGCGTGCAAGAAACTACAAAATGCAAACAATATGCAAGAATATAAAAAAAAGATTAAAAGTAAAGTTCATGTTATGATATTTGCAGAATAAAATTAATTCCTATTTAGATTCGCGAAGATTTTATTTTGCATAAAGATCCGCAGTCTGGTAATTATAATTACAGTGCTTTTCAATAACTTCCCGAAAGGCTGTATCGAGTTTCTTTTTTTGTACGTGTAAAATTAGTGAAGTTTTAACTGTTATAGAGTTTATAAAGTGTCCTCGTTAGTAATTGAGTACTTCGACACCTGCGTGGCGCGCTGCAGCACGCGTAGTTTGGGGGCTTCGCCCCCTGACCGCGGTCAAGTAACCGACACGATCATTAACAGTGCTGAACCTATTAATTATTTTTTCTTTTAATATATAAAATATTGTGTACAATAAAATGTAATGTACATTACAATGTATGCTTAGGTTCGAAGGGGTTAAATTCACAACGCAACGAGTCACGGTACTTAACTTCCTTTCGTTTTGTTAGGTACCAAGGAAACTCCTGTAGAAAATATGCCGAGCAGCAAGACCAGAATTGCCATAGTAGGTGGCGGTGTAGCCGGATTGGTAGTAGCCCGTCATACGGCCGCCAAGTTGGATACTTATAGTGTTACTTTATTCGAGCAAACCGACCAGATCGGCGGGACTTGGGTCTACACTGACGAAACCGATTTCGACAAGCGTGGATTAGCTGTTCATAGTAGCATGTACAAGAATCTAAGGTCAGTGTGCAATTACATTTCTTCCCCTTCACTCGCTCGTCTAATCCTTCTATGATAACTGTCACTGGTATGTATATGTCTTGATTACAAAAAAAGATCGTTATCCAGACACAGCTGGATAAATACTTTCGTTAACGTAATCATATATCCTACAAAGATTAGCATTTGTTCAAACACAAGAAAGCACCTGTATCCGCACACACCAGTTAATCTATTCTACGTTTATTGTACAGGGTGTCCCAGCCTCGGTGATACAGCGCTCTAACTCCAAAACTATCGGCCGAATGGAAAATTTCAAATATGGAAATTGCATGGTAAAAATGGGCCTCATGTTTCAGCGAGAAGGAATTTTTGTTCACTTTGTTATTTAACGAGATATGATGGTCAAGTTTCGTTTTTCAAATGGAACTATATATTTTTTGTTATACCATGCGACAGTACTTTTCAAGACGAATTCGTGAAGCTTTAATGTATTTACCCGATTTTTATTACTTTCCAAGCTATAACGCTTCAAAGTTTGCTAATTTTCAAGGTAAATCACGGGCGGTCTCATTGGTTGCAGTAAGCACCATGGAGTTCTTGAAATCGATACGGAGGGTCTCGCTTGAGATTCCAGGCCCAAGGAAGGAAAACAGGAAAAGTATTACCTACCTAGAAAATTCTCGGCGCTACAAGTAATGCATCAGTACCGTTTTCGTTTTTCAAATGGAACTATATATTTTTTTTTTATACCATACGATAGTACTTTTCAAGACGAATTCATTGAGCTTTAATGTATTTACCCGATTTTTATTATTTTTCCAAGCTATAACGCTTCAAAGTTTGCTAATTTTCAAGGTAAATCACGGGCGGTCTCATTGGTTGCAGTAAGCAACCAATGGAGTTCTTGAAATCGATACGGAGGGTGTCGCTTGGGATTCCAGGTCCAAAGGAAGGAAAACAGGAAAAGTTCGACCGGGGTCGAACAGAGTTTTTTTCCCCTGAAAATTAGCAAACTTTGAAGCGTTATAGCTTGAAAAGTAATAAAAATCGGGTAAATACATTAAAGCTTCACGAATTCGTCTTGAAAAGTGCTGTCGCATGGTATAACAAAAAATATATAGTTCCATTTGAATAAACGAAACTTGACCATCATATCTCGTTAAATAACAAAGTGAACAAAAATTCCTTCTCGCTGAAACATGAGGCCCATTTTTACCATGCAATTTCCATATTTGAAATTTTGCATTCGGTCGATAGTTTTGGAGTTAGAGCGCTGTATCACCAAGGCTGGGACACCCTGTATTATAAATGTAGTTTACATACAACTAACAGTTAATTATTCAGTAGGTACAACAATTATAATTATTGAAAACATTGAAACAGAATTAATTTCAAATTGTACGAGCTACTTTTACAACGTGACGTTGTTATTTTCTTAGGATTATTTTCGATTGATCGCATTCTCGTTTTAACACTATTCTACACATGTTCATGTTCGACAACCATAACAAGCTCCCGCGTCCTTCCTATAATCTTTTATCAATAAATATTGTTTCATCGTACTTTTATTGTTCGACGTACGAACAAAATATTTTCGGAACTTAATTCTAACGGACGTAAACACTTTTCACAATTTGATTTGTTCGTGACTAACGGGGCAAACATTGATCGTACAAATGTTTTCTTTTCACGTGACTTACACGATAATGACGGTAGTTGTGTTCTAATCGGTCTAGTCTGTTGTGATAAACTTTGCGGCCACGCGATACACTCCTTGACATAGTAACGAGACAATCGGTTCGGTAAGTTGTTCCGGAATACATATAGTTGGGTTCGATGCTTTGTAAATAAGTTAGACGATAAAATATTATGTACAGAGCGAGAGATAGAAAATTGCTGAAACGGACGTTACGAAGTATATAAATAAATTCGTGAAGAATTACTTCCTATCAGTTGTACGAGTCAACGAACCATCTTGCAACTTATGCAAAAGGACACACACGTGCAATCTTAAACAAGTTTTCATTTTGTTAATATTTCTACCGTCCAGAAAGAGTCGTTTTCAAAATCTGTAAAAAAGAAAGATAATAGAGTAACAATAACAGTTTACAATTAGTTTGTACGTACACAGTTCGATTGAAATAGTTAAAGTAAACGTATAATAAGAGAAAACTCATCGGAGTGCAATATAAACAAAATTGTAACGTTAATAACTTAATAGCTTGCCATAATGACTGCAATTGCCTGCAAATGACTGAGAATGCCTGAGAATTCGTCAAAAGAGTAGATATAATCGTCAAGTGCTTAGTTTGTAATTAGGAGTCGTCAGGGTCGTCAAGCGAAGATTCAAATGGCTAATGGATCTAAGTAAGGCTAAATTAGAAGAAACATTAATTTCTACTTTTAGGTATAAATGGGAAATTATATTAACAAGAGTACATTAAAAAGCCTATTACGAAAACGGCTGTCTGTTACTATACTGATATAATAATATAGCAATATAGTTAATATCTTTTCCGATATAAATTTATTTCGATCTTTCTTTGGTAAAGCAAAATGCAAATACTCGTAGGTGAAATTAGAGTACTTTTTCCGGACAATCTAAATATGCAATAAAAAACGGTGGTTCCCATTTAAGTTTTTTTATCCACCCCCATCCCCAAGAAAGTGCTGGCGGGTTTGGCATCATTGGATGTCTCCCTTCGAGACGAACAACTTTTATTACCCACTTTTTTTTTTTTTATATCCGGTGCATAATTCTCGAGAATGCGTCTTTAGATAAATCGTCTCGGATATCTTCGAAACTACAAGTATCGCAGAAATATTTGCCGAAATAAAATTGCACGGTACGAAGGGGGACCGTTCGGTGGCGATAATAGTTTTTTTGCAGGTGGAGGGGTACTTTGGACATTCGAAGGCATAGTCGTTATGACTTGCGAGATTGTTTACTCAAAAATCGAAGGACGTTTATTACGATAACGATAATTAGTCTCATTAAAGTGGTCGACGAAACTAAGAAGTTCACGATCTTGTGTAGTACGCGAGATTAACATGATGTCATAGTCTATGGAAAGCTTCGTTTCACTACAAGTTCCGCAAGAAAGAGCGTTACTACGAGAAATGTATGAATCATATTCATTTATTCTGTTCGCGATATATTAACTTTTTCTTAGTGGATTAATATCTTATGAGATACGACTTCGAGTTTGATCTTCAGAGTATAAGGCAAACGAAAATGATACGGTATTAATGTTCGTATTTCTTTGTAATACAAACTTTGTATTCAGAATAAATTGAGAGAACGACGCTTTTTTTATTTAACTACATATTTAAACATATTTCGTATATTATTTGCAATCTTAGATGATACGCAATTGTACAATCTTTGACCGCATTTGCTAATGAATGAATTAACAGTCGTTACACTTTTGATATAGTATTGACTGATTGATACCTAATCGATCAAAGAATTCTATGTAATTGATATGTTACTCGAAACGAACAGAAGGGATACACGAAAAACTGTTTCGAAACCGACATAAGTAAAACCTATATATGGGGTGTTTCTTATTATGTGGGCGTTTTTTGGAAGGTAAGGTCTTGACGCCAATAATAGTTTTTTTTTTTTTTTTTTTTTAAAATGTTCATATAGAACAACAAAGACAAATCATCGATCACCTTTGTATATTCCCTGAAAGGATTTCGTGTGGTCGTAAAATCGGTCAGAAGGCGAATTTTAAGTTGACCGCTATTAGTAAATCGAAACCTTTTTAGACAAGAATAGCATTAGATTTTTCGTTCAGGACCGTACGATATTAGAATTGAAAGATTCATCATTTAATTTTTATTAAGTTTAACTTCATTCTTTGTATACATATTAGGTTGTCCCGAAAGTTTCCTTCGCGAGTTGCACTCAATTATTTGATGTGGTCGAGTTTATATAAATAGACAATCTAATTCCATAGATATTCATGTTGTAACAGTGATGGAGCAAAATGAATCGTGCACGGTTCAGTAACGTAACATGAAACATAAACTATCGTGCATGTGTTACTTATTAATAAAGCGAAAGACACTTTCGGGACAACCTAATATATAGAATGGGTAATTATCGAACATAAATATTTGTACATAGCATTCTGAAATATCTTTTGTGCATCATTAATATGGTACGACGTGCTTAATGTGTTATTAAATGTATATGTCGCATTGCAGAACGAATCTTCCCCGGGAAATTATGCAAATACCTGATTTCCCAATGAAAGATGACGAAGGACCGTCATTCGTTCATCACAGTGTTATTCGAGAATATCTCTGGGACTATGCGAAGCATTTTAACTTGTATCCTCACATAAAGGTGATAGTCAACCTAGTTTTCTTTAAAATAATGTAGAAACGAAGCGGCTGTATTCAATCAAATCGTAGACTTATTTGATGTTGGATTACTAAGCCGTGTTTGGTAACAATGGATGGATTATATTACTTTATAATCGCTACGTAGCTTCTAAGTTAGAATGCTTGACAGTAATTGCGCCGCACTCGCATTCCATTTCCTGTTAAAAAATAAAACGTGACATTGGTTCTCCGTACGCGGATTTAATTTCCAGCTAAATACTCTGGTGAAGCACGTGGAGCCGGAAAATCTTCAGAACGGACAGACAATTTGGATGATCACGTACAAGGACTTTGAAACTAACGTAGAAACCACTAAATCGTTCGACGCCGTAGTTCTGTGTAATGGTCATTACACTGTAGGTCATATTCCACGCATTCCAGGTATCGAAAGTTTTCACGGAGGAAGCATACATTCACATCAGTACAGGGTAGCCGAAGTGTACGCTAGAAAGAAAGTTTGCATCCTCGGTGCGTCTTGGTCCGGTATCGACATCACCTTAGAGGTCTCGCAATACGCAGAAAAGGTAACGGTCAAAAAACTGAAAAAATAAAGTAAAAAAGAACGGAATTAATTTTTTTTTTTTCGAATCAAAAATCTCTTAAAGTCATTACCTGCGAGTTCCTACTACAAAAGATAGGAAAATTAATAAAATTTCATAATTATAAACATCGGAACTCTTTACCAGAAGATTACTGTTTAATAGATATCGGCTTTTGTATTTTACAATGCAGGTATATTTAAGCCACAATCTACCGGAACCGGTTGACACCAAAATGTTGAAAAACGTGGAGCAGAGACCCGGAATCCATTCTATTCAAGGGAACATTTTCATTTTCCGCGACGGTTCCAGGGCTGAAATAGACAACTTTATATATTGCACCGGTAAAAAGACTCGATCTACGTATCTCCTACATATAAGCGATTACTTGAAATTCTGGTATATAAATAGACTGCGGATTTTACGCATTTTATGACGCATATTAATGTAGAAAACGCATACAAAGCATATGTAGGTAAATGTTCCATAATTATAATTTCATAATATAATGTAGCTAATATTTCATTTTATATTAGCGTTCGATCATCAAAACTGCAGAAATTCTAAAACAAAATTAAAGCAACATAAAACATTTAAGTATAAAATAATTATTTACACTATGCTTTACCGATTATCGGCTTTCTCCTGTTCCAATGTAAATCGATCAAATGTAAAACGTTTTGTCCCTTGGTATGGTCCTTGCCATAGTTGTCTCAGGCTCAATTTGTATCGTAATTTGGATGAACCACTGTTTTCAGGATACGAGTTCACGTATCCCTTTATGTCTGCTAAAGTCGAGATGCGAACAGAGGAGAACCACGTCGAACCGATTTATAAACATCTGATACATATGGATTATCCGAATTTGTTTATCATGGGACTGCCAGGAATCGTAATACCTTTCCCGATGTTCCACCTACAAGCTCAATACATTCTGGGTATTCTCGAAGGACATATCAAGTTACCTTCTTCCGAGCAAATGAGGGAGGAATACGAAGCGGAGAAGAAAGCTTTACTCGATCAAGGCATCGCCGTATGTATTAACCTTTGTCATAATTATATTATATTTACAAAATTTAAGCTAGACAATAACGACCGACCACGAAACAAAATCATTTTTTGTTTTTTCTAGTTAAGGCACATCATTAAACTGAAGGAGAGACAATGGGCATATTACGATGAAATTGCTGCGATTGCAAATGTCCCGAGCTTCCCTCCAGTGATTAAGAAAATCTACAACCACGCCAATCAAATGCGTGAATTGGACTTTACTACTTACAAGAACTTACAGTATAGAATAATCGACGACCAGAATTTTGTAGTATGTTGCTGTAAACCTTGTTAGGGTTTAAAGACTAAGATTAAATGGAAATAATTAATTACAAAACGAAGGACAGGGATCGAAATTGCTCAAAGTCCGCAATTGTTGCGCGTTCAGTGATTACATGAATTTATAATTGTTTGTTGGAATTAACGTTCATGCTTTTTGACTTGGCAACAGCATCCGAAGAGTACGAAAGAAGATACAATACCAATATTTACGAAGAATGATATGTTAAAATGTTATAACTGCAAAACATAACACAGTGTATACACTTTACGAGTAGCTGTACATTATATAATGTATTTGATGCACTTTTCTATCTCTTGTAAGATAAACATTGACATGATTTCTGACCAATCAACGGAGATTACGTCGTGTGTATGTATTAATACAGAAAATGTGCACAAGGAACGCTTCAATTGCATTGTAATAATGTTAAATATAACAATAAACAATGAAATGTAGTTATACGTATAGTTAGTATAACTCATAAGTTAAATTACAATTGTGAAATATACTCATTATTTTTAAACAGACTTAATTACATGGATCATTCAATATTCCTATTCTACTTTTTTAAGCATTTTCTAGAATAAAACTAAAATTGGATTGTACTGGTTCATTTTCAGTATTTTTATTTATTTAAAAAACTAGGTATTAAACAATTATTAGTGTACTAATCGACAATTATTAGATGAATTACAGTAGGTAGAATGTAAAATTACATTTATATGCAGAGGAAAGTATAGAATTTATGGTTTCAATATTCTCATTTTGGTGGCGCTATCTAGCGGCACGAAGTGGAAACTATTCCACGACAAACTTGGGCGGTTCGCCGAGAGATAGCGCCACATATTTCTGTATTTTTATTTATTTAAAAAACTTGATATCAGTCAATGATTATTATCTAATTCAGCAATAAGAAGAGGTTTTATGATAATTACGATGTAAAATTATTCGAATATGCAGATAAAAGTGAAAAATGAGAGTATATGGGAGAAATAAGTTCGGACCAGTAATGGACATTCGTGGGATTTTTCCATCGAGGTATTCCTTTCTGCAGGCAACCGGCCCGACATATCTGTTAGCATAGGTTGCCTACTTCAAAGGGCTAATTTTTTTGTACATTTCGGAATTCTGGCCGATTTTGCATTTTGGTATCAGGAGCACATGATGCGCGAAGAGGTGGCACGGTT